GCAACCATCACTGTCATCTATTTCCAAAACACTTTCATCACCTCAAACAGAAACTCTGTACCCATTGAGCAATAGCTCCTCGTTTTTCTGTGCTAATTGAAGGTCAGTGGTTCAAGCCACCAGCACCTCTGAAGGAGGAAGATGTGGCAGTCTCCTTCTATAAATATTACAGCCTTGGAAACCCTATGGGGCAGTTCTACTCTGTTCTATACAGTTGCTATGAATCAGAATTGACAGGAATAAGCTTTAACTTCAATTAGGGTTAGTAGCATATGAAAAATCTCTTGCTATATATCCCTGTCCTCAATCTGCTTAGTACATTTTGTTGCACACTGAATGAATTGACAAAATGGGTGAAACTGATTTTAAAATCAGTAATTACATTTCCCAGGGCATCCCTAGTCTGTGAGTACAACATTAGTCACATCAACAGTAACAACCAATTTGGTGGTTCAGACCCCACCTGCTCCTGTACAACTTCAGCCTCCCTTACAGGCTGTTGGAGGTGTCTTCCACATGCTCCTTCTGGGTGCCACTGTTGCCGGGCATTTGTCTGGAGTTGCTGCTGAAGGACTGGTGCTCTCTCAGGGCCATGGTTCCAGGGTGGTCTGTGGAGACCTTTGGGGTATACTCTGCCAGAGTCCCCAAAGTTTAATGAGCTTTTCTAGTTTCTCTTTAGGGCTTTTTTGATCTCCTCTGTATTCAGTGTGGACTTTTCAGGATAGTGTTGGTCTGGAGGCCAGCCCAGGACACAGAGGCCCTGCTGTCTTCAGGATTGCTCATCTATCCCATCCCAACAGGGGAAGAAGGTCAAGATCCCCTATTCCTGGACCTGATTCCCTGCTGATGAGTTGTCTTCTAGGAGCATCTTGCTTCCTCTCTGAAAATAGTTTCTGCTGCGACAACTTGTCAGTTCACCAGGCAACTCTGAATTCCATGGTGGAATTCCATTAGAATATGATTCATTTTGCTATAATAAGAACCTTGATCTAATAAAAGTATCTGATTAAGTCTGACCTTAAGGAAGGGTCTGCTACCCTTTAGAGAAGGGCAGATTCTATTGCCCCAATTACTTTGGGAGCCCCATATTTGCCCCCTATTTCTTCCTTTCCCTTCCTCCCTCCCTTGTTACTGTCTTTGATAAAGAGAAGTTCTTACCAGTTCTCCAGGGCAGGAATTACTGTGTACAACTCTTGCTCTGTACAATGTTAATGGCATGCGACTCCAGGTTGGGAATGGGCTGTTCAGGTGGTCTGTCCATTGCAAGGGTTACCTGGTTGATGTGGAGGCTCTGGACAATGCATGTGAAGCAGAGTGGGAGGAGACAATGAATGCTTCTTGCCTGCATTGTTAAGTCTGCCCTTGAGCTTGGGTAGGAAGGCTAATTGCCTTGTCATAGAGTAGAGCATGTCTTTTGAAACAGTATTCTTGGAAGTACTATTATTGGGTAAGTTCATGGACACCCAATTACAGTACTTCCAAGAATACTGTTTCAAAAGATATGTATATTCTGTGAGTTCTACTCTATGACAAAGCAATTAGCCTTTTTTTTTGGAGCTAAACTCAGGGTAGACTTAACAGTCCTGAGCAAGTATTCACTGTGGGTGTTCAGTGAACTTACAGCAGCATCACGATATATGGAGAAAAGATTGACGTTTTCAAAGATTTCATTTTACTTGGATCCAAAATCAACACCCATGGAAGCAGCAGTCAAGAAATCAGATGTCGTATTGCACTGGGAAAATCTGCTGCAAAAGACCTGTTTAAAGTGTTGAAGAGCAAAGATGCCACTTTGATGACTCAGGTGTGACTCATCTGCATGTGAAAGCTGGACAATGAATAAGGAAAACCGAAGAGTTGATGCCTTTGAATTGTGGTGTTGGGGAAGAGTACCTGAACATACTGCTGGTCTTTTGATTTGCAACTGAATGCTTTAACCTCTGTGCCACCAGAGCTCCTTTAACAGAAGTTAGTGTCCCCTAATCTAGTTGTTTTAAAGCCTTTATGTAAGAAGTCCATCATCTGGGTTTCCTCAGGGACAGCTTCTTTCACTTCATTTTGTTCTTTGGAATGGGCCCACTTGTTTCTTTGCATGCCTTGTGATTTGGTTGCTAGTTGGGTATTTAAGTATTGTAAGGTAGCATAATGGCTAAAGCACTTGACTGCTAACCAGAAGGCTGGTGGTTCAAACCCACCAGCCACTCCTCGGAAGGAAGGTTGGGCAATCCTACTTCCGTAGTAATACTGCCTCGGAAACCCAAGGAGGGGTCGCTATGAGTCGGGGCCGACTCGACTCGATGGCACATAACAACAACAACAACAACAATGTGGTAACTCTAGAAATCAGATTCTTCCTCTTCCTCAGAGTTTGCTTTTTTTTTTTTCCTCCTTTTTTTTCCTTTTTGGCTGAAGGCTATAGTAATCCATTTGTTTAGTGACTTCCTCTGTGTGTTTGCAAACACTCCCTTCCTGGGCATGTGTGATCATTGAAGTCTCTGTTCCTTAGGTTGTGTTCAGCTCGTATTTTGGTAAAGAATAAAACAAACAAACAAACAACAAAACACCTCTCCCAGTCTCTGCAGGTTGGCTATGTGCCAGGGCTGTCCTTCAACACTTAGCCAGGTTTGTGCTAAACCCAGGGACCAGCCAGAGGTGAAAGCATAGGGTCTTCTCAGGTGTTTTCTAGCACATGTCTTGCCCTGGGTATGTGTGTGGCTTTCTAAATTCTCCTACATGTGTGGATGCTCTTGCATGTCCTGATTTCCCAAAGAAAATCTTGCCAGGTTCTCTTCCCAGCCCTTGGATATCTACTGCATATCTCAATCCCACTCTTTAGCCCCAGGTGGTGACAGGTGGTCATGGTGTTTGGAATATGGTCACCACGCTTCAGCTGTGAGGGCGCTTTGAGATGGGCAAAAGAGAGCAGCCTTGAGTCAGTTCTTCAGGCAGCCCCCAGACAGGTTAGAACAGACAAACACAATAATTTGCAAATGTGGTCTAGTCTGTTTTATTCCAGAGCTAGGGACCATGAACTCTGTCTGGGAATGTGGGCTGCTGAAACTTCAAAACTGGCATTGAGCTGGGGAGGGGTGAGGCATGGGTGAGTAGAAAACACCACAAAGCTTTTCCTGAAGTAGTCTTTTTCTTGATTCACAGTGAGCTTGGTTGCTGTAAACTTGTGACTGGTTTTCAGGGTTCTGATGGAATTGGTTCTGCCAGATTCTGCTTGGTTCTTGGGGTTTCTGTGAGGGGAAGGGAGCATGGAACTTCTTACACCAGTATCTTGCCACAAGGGCCCCAGTGGAGTAACTCAAACTCTCACTCACTGAGGGTGAGGCTATTTCTTAAAAATTACACATACTGTATTAGGGTAAATTGTAGTCAATGTCACGAGACAAAGTGTATGTGAACTGCTGTATGGAAAGTGAATTTGCTCTGTAAGCTTTCACCCAAATCACAATAAAAAAGAAAAAGTTAAACATACACCTACTGTAAGATCTAGCCATTTCATTCCTGCATATTATCCTGATGGGGTGCGGTGAAGTATAATTCTACACAAAGATTTGCCCACAAATATTCATGGGTGATTCATTTGTGATAGCCCCAAATTAGAAACAACCTAGTTAACCAGCAACAGGTAAATATATAAACAAATAGTGGCATATCCATAAAATGGATACTACTCAGCACTAAAAAGGAGCTATTGACATACACAACAACATGAAGAAATCTTAGAGGAATCATCCTCAGTGGAAGCATCAGGTAACAAAGAGTACAATACTGTATTATTTTATTTATATAAAATTCTAATATATGCAAACTAATTTATAATGTCAGGAAGTAGATGGGTGGTTGGTTGGGAAGGAGGGGAGAGAAGAGAGGGAGATAGTACAAAGGGGCATGAGGAAACCTTGGGTCTAGTGGATGTGTTTATTATTTTGATTTGGTGACGGTTTTATAACAAGTTAACTAGTTGCCGTTGAGTTGTTTCCAACTCATGTGACCCCCTGTGCATCAGAGTAGATTTATCCTCCACAGGGTTTTCTCTCAAAGGCTGATCTTTCAGACTTCCACGAGCACGCCTTTCTCCTGAGGTGCTTCTGTGTGGGCGTGAACCCCCAATCTTTCAGTTAGCAGCTGAGCACATAAGTCATTTGCACCACCCAGGGACTCCTGATGGTTTTATGGGTACATATTAAAGTAAAAAGTATTAAAAGAAAAAATAAGGAGCTCTGGTAGTGCAATGCCTAAGGCATTTGACTGTTAACCAGAAGGCTGGCAGTTCAAACCCACCAACCAGTCCATGGAAGGAAGACTGGGCAGTCTACTTCTGTAAAGATTTACTGCCTTTGAAACCCAAAAGGGGTCGCTATGGGTCAGAATCGCGTAGATGGCAGTGAGTTTGGTTTAGTTTGTTTATTAAAGTAAAAACTCATCAAACTGTACAATTTATGTGAAATTTATTATATGTCAATAATACCTCATTAAAGCTGTTAAGAAATAAAACAAAAGAAAAACAGATCCCCAAATTGAGATTTTTGATGAGAAACTACTGAAGAACCCAAGACTGTGCAGGCTGTGCTTCTCATGGATCCGAAAAGGTGGGCACCACAGTTGGGTGAGAGAGGGCGAGTGGAGGAGAAATGCTAGGGTCACTGGGGTCTTATTCACAGTCATGGATTTGCAGAGCCAGAAGGGACTTTAGAGAAGATGAAGTCCGACTCCCTCACATTAGATAAAAAGCCCTGAGAGCTGAGGTATTTGCCAAAGTTGCAGAGCTCATCTGTGGTAGATGCAGAGTTGGACCCTGTCTCCTGACTCCCCGTCCGGTGCTCCTTCCACTTCCCACACCACAGTCTGTAACATAAGCACTGTCTGTCTCAGATCACTAACATCTAGAAGGTAGGGCTGGGCAGAGATCAGAGAGCTGGGAATTGCCATGGGAATGTAGCAGATTGGGTGGGGGTGGCAGGGGGAGGCCAGTCCTGGGTGGTTCTTGTTCAGGTGGCCTGGGCATCTCCTTTCTGGACACAGAGTGGGCAGCAGTGCTCTCTCTTTTTGTAATCCGCAGAGCAGGCATGGCACACCAGGCCTCCGCAGAGCCTGGGGCAGAGACAGAACAGGGAGAACCTCTGCAGCCTGGCACAGGGGGCGTGCGGGCATTGGAGTGCAGTCAAGGAGGTCAAGCATTTCCAAGGTACACCTGCCTGTTTCTTATTTCCCAGGAGAACAGCCCTTGGTCTATTTCAGGAGGTCTTCCTAAAGAATCTCCTGATTCCTGACCCCCTCCAAAGTCCTCTAACTTCAGTGGTAGGGTCTCCTGACGGCTAACTTCCCTTTCTTTTGGGGCTTATCCTGTCACTGTGTTTGCAGAAGAAGGTGATGGGGCAAATTCTCCTTTATAAGAAGTCTCTTGCCAGAGAAGAAGCCCATTCATCAGTCTACTCCTTGAAAGGTTGCACAATCCCTTATTCCCTTCCATTGTTCTTGTTCATATCTCTGTTTAGTGTTGGAAGCCAGATGGGCTTAGCTTTAAGAGGCCTTTTATAAACACCCAGTACCTGTGTCCCCCACTTCCCCGGAGTGGGAAGGGGGCTATGGTTTGTGGAAACTGGGCTGTCTCAGAGAATGGATTCTGGGCCTGTCCCACATACCTGCATGGATACCGCCGAGAGAGTCGACCCAAGATCTTGCTGCAGCTGACACAGCATTGAGGGGCCACAGAAGAGAGATGCCGGACCTTCTGCCACAGGTTGTCCTTCTCCCTGATGGGGGAAGGATGTGGACACACCCACACACATGAAGATAGGCAGATGGAAATGGACATCAACGGAGAGACGGAGGGACAGAAAGAGCAACGTGGAGAGACACAGAAGGGAAGAGAGTGACGGAGGGGTGACAGAGAAAGTCTCACAATGATATACATACAGAGACAAAAAGAGGAGGAACAGTACAGAGACAAGGACAGACAGGAAGACAGAGAGAGAAGGGGAGAGCGAGACAAAGAGGAGCAGAGAGAAATACAGTCACTCAGAGAGAGTGAAAGACAGAGTTACAGAGGGACGTGGTAAGAGACGTGGAGGAGTACATGGAGTGATCAATGTAGAGGAAAAAAGGACACATGGAGAAAGACCATAGAAATAAAGCAGCCAGGCAGAGAGGAGCCGAGGCATGGGGAGAGAGGGAGAGGCAAGTATAAAGATGAAGAGACAGAGAGAGATACAGGGACACAGCAAAATGAACACACACACACACAGATCAGTTTGTTTCCAGGATTTCAACAAGACAAATGGTGATATCAAGCTCCCTCTCATCTAACATAACCACGACCCATTATTTTAGAACCTATTCATACGTGCCAAAGGAGCTCTGGTGGTGTAGTGGGTAAGGCATTTGGCTGCTAACCATAAGGTTCAGTGATTTGAACCTACCAGCCACTCTGCAGAAGAAAGACAAGGCAGGCTGCTTCTGTAAAGATTTATAGTCTGGAAAACCTAGGGGGGTTGCTATGAGTCAGATTGACTCGATGGCAGTGAGGTGTTTTTTTTCTCTTTTTTTGGTTATTCACATCCTACCTTCTCCAAGGAATGCTTCCTGATTATAGCAGCTCCTGGGGGCTTCTTGCTCCAGACCCATGTAGCATATAGTACATATTACCTTTTATTTGGCACTTAGTCAAATCTATCTTGTGTTTATGTATGTTTACACCCTTGCAAAACTATCTTCACTTTTTTTTTTTTTT